AAGACTGTGTCGAAATCACACAAAAAATAATAACAAGTCATCTCCATTCCTGTTATAGAGTAAATTATAATATTTTTTTGTGTAAATTTTAACATATTGAATAAATACGTACGAGTTGTGTTATGTTAACACATTTCTTAAATCATTTTAATAATTTTACATTTTATATTTGTTAAGGTCAGTTAACATAGTAGACATGTGTTAAATTTACATATAAATATGTAGGTTATTTAACACAAAAATTTTAACAAGGACCGATTTTAACACAAATACAAAGTGTTTTTATTGTGTACATATATTATTAAAGTTAATGATAGTAAAATAAATAGAGTGATAGCAGCATTCGCTATCATTTTAGAAGGTCGCGATAATATATATGGCGAGTTCTAATTTTATATACCGCTGTGACCTAAACGCTAATATGATGATGTGAAAATAAAATGAACTCTCAATTCTTGCTACTATCTGTTAGCACGAAAAATCGACTAGCTGTTTATGCTTATGTGATATCGATAACTATTGAATCTCATGCATAATCCAACAAACGTAAAAACAAATTCATTATATATCTTGCGTCATTGAATATAATTTATTAAGAATATATATTGAATTTTATTTATTTTTTCTAGATATCTTCCGTGAGCGAGATATGGCGAATGCCAACATCGTTTTTTTTCTGAGCGAGAGATATTTTTATGGACTATATATATATATCCTCACTTTGTGATTTTCAAAAATAAAATTATTCAAGTAGAAATAGTTTATCATTCAGCTTCACAAATTGTTAAAGCAAAAGATAATTGGTGAATCGCAGACACGTGCGTTTTAATTGCGCTTTTCCTGCATTTGAGATAAAAATAGAATACGATAAAGAGAACTTGAAAAGAAAACGAAGTAGGAACAGAACAGGAAGTACAACCTAACAATGAACAATGATAAATTTAATGCTTGTAATTATTCTGAATCATTTGGCGTGTAATTTTGTGCCACTTCATGCAACAAAAAAAGTGTGCACAGATTTGGCAGAAAGGAGGATCGCCGATTTATAAGCATGAGCACCGGGAACGAAGTCCAAAGGCCAGAAGGCTCGTCCGTCTCAGGTTTTGCCGTCACATGGCCGGTAAACAATTGATTTCCCTTGACGTCACTTTCCACTATCTGCGAGATTTCGACGCGATGTTTTTTTCTTCTCGCCATCGTCATTGGCACGATTTCACGAGAAATGCCAAGAGTGGAGTTAAAGTCCAAGTTACTTTTTTTATCGCGTTTCGTAATTCAAAATTCGCAATCTGACTCTATCGGCCTGATCAGGGAGATCAATCGCAGATAAAATCTATGGATCTCGTTTTCTCCTCTGCTCTTATTAGAGCGATAATCCCTGGATAAGTTGCATTGTATAAGTGATAAGTGATATTTTTGTTTGAATAAATAATTGCTTATTCATCTCAATCTATCCGATATATTGTTCTCAAAATATCTCTTGTCAAACGATAGCAAACGCTAATGTATTATATATGTAATATAGGGACATAGCGTGAATATTTATTTAATGATCGTTTCTTCGAACAAAAACGTTATTTTCTATTCTGTTTATATCGCGCCATGATGACTCAGAATAAAGAATGATGAGACACTTATTTTGCTCCCTGTAGGTGGATTATCCTATGACGATTGAGAAAACATATATGTTTCATTGTCAATAGTATTATTTTAAGAGATGTATGATAATAACAATATGTCACGTGTGTTTATCTGCGCAAGATAAGACGCACAAAAACATGCTAATTTTCGAGGGCAATGTTCTTTGCGTGCCAATTTCAGTGTGTCTAGTTGAATCTTCTATAGCTTCTCTGTAATAATCTCTAGAAACTTAATTACTTTGATAATTTCTAATTGCTCCGAAAAATCGTATCATTATCTCATTTGTATCGGGGAACCGTGCATCATTTAATTGTTCATGTGCAATTAATTGAATATTACATTTTACCAATTAATAGAATCGATGTAACAAAATTATTTTCAATATAACTATCTAAATTTAAGATCTTTAATAGAGGTATTTTTAGAATTTACAAAATACACTTGAAAATGCAATTTCGCGCGATTGTCTTACGTATTTGTAACATTGACGAGATTTACATCAAAATTTACAATTAAATAAAAGTGAACTGTCATCCGATTTATCCGCTCGCAAACAAATCCGGAGATTTTGAAGTTAATTAAATTGCACGATACCGAGAGATCTCGGTGCAATTAATACTCGACAATTGAATGTAAATGCCAGGACCGCTGCCCGTGATGAGCAATGAGCAGATGCCACAAAATTTTCTGCTTCTTCTTCCATTTTCGCTTTGCCAAATAGGATTTTATATAAAAGCAAGCAGAGCTCGGTCCGACCGATCTGTGTCTCTGGCGGATAAGAGCATTCAATTTCCTGGTAATTTCTCAGTTGATCGCTTTTAGAATCGAATCGCGAGAACCGGCCACGGTTCTCTTCGGAAAATTCATGAAGATCTAATCTTGTTTTACGCCCACGAGACACTCTCAACAATGAGAAACCTATAACAATCGTGCGATTCTTCTTTTACAGCAATTCTGCGTAATGTAACATCGCCTTGTTACATCACGTATTGTTTTTTTCTCTTTTATTCGCATGGCCTTTATTTGGAATTAACTGTGAAATTAAAAGTTTTTTTTCTTTTTTTTTTTTTTCATATTAATTCAATTCAATTACGCGACATGGGAACAATTGAATCTTCCATTTGGGTAATGACGCAGTCTGTATGTTTATTAAAGCTGATTAAAATTGCGTCCAAGCTCGTACAATTATCATTCGATGTTCCCAACCTTTCCAATGATTGCACTCCGCGTAATAAACACTCGTTATCAAAGCCCCCCTCGGAGAAGGAATTAGTGAATGCGTTACCGAGAATAATTCTCAAGAACAATTTCTTATGGAAAATTGCGAGGAATTTTTTCTGCGTATAAAAACAAAATCTAATCTTCGAATATCATATGCAATGCAGCTAATAAATTTTTTTATAGAATTTGCTGAATTTTATTTTACAATGTCTGCAAAAAATTATTACAACCTATTCTGTTTCCGTAATTATCTTTTATGTCTTGATTTTCTTATCAAAAGAATTCGCTGCAAATTCTCTCGTAAATTTCAATACACGAGGCACGATATGACGATTGATGAAAACAAATGTTTTATCAATGATTATGAGGTACGCTTACGTCTTCATTTCACATAGATTATGCTTATTTGCACGCTTGTACGTTGCGGTTGGTTTGGCCAAAGTTTCAGCAATTTTTCAGACACATGGATCTCAAGTGACAATCTTCTCGCGTTGCATGCTCACGAGGTCGAGGTTTATTTTCAGAGCGCACCGCCGTACGCAACCCGGGGACATGTCTCAAACATGTCTATATAAATAATTGAATTTTCACTCCAGGAGGAGAGAAGATAAGGGATCGATTTATCGACGTTCACTCGAGCGTGCCGATATCAAATATTTTATGGACGATTGACCGACGTTTCCGTCACGATCTTCTGCAACAGCTAGCCTTTCGCGAGTTTAAAAATGCAAACAATTTGCTTCTTAGTTAGTAATGCGTAACGATATCTAAAAATTTTTAATAAAGTAAAGCTCGGCTCAACAGAGAACCTCAACTTAAGATTAAGGAAAAAAGAATTTTATTAAAGTGAAAAATTCTACTAACTCCTTCTAATAGCTCGTAATTGAACGACGCTAATATTTAGCAAAGGCATGTTACAAGCAAGAGCGTACGCTCGAAGCGGCTATAGTTTGTATTTGTCAATAATGATAGCGACACGTCGTTAAGTAGGTCAATGCATGATCACTGGAAGTTCAGTTTGTATCGATTTTTCGTTGTATAGATGATAATATGTAATCGCTTTTATGCGAACTTTGTTTTTACACAGGTTTTTATGTAGGTGTGCTTTACGGAATGTCAATTTCCACGTACAACACGCTGAAATAAAATTGTTAACGTTACGTTAATTTGATCATCATTAACATGAAATAAATCAAGCTTTCTGGAACTTATTTATGTATATAATTTTTTATGAATCATTCTTTAATAACATTGGAAATTGAATGATTAAGCGACGTCGAAAGTTTAATAAGTCACAAGCTTAACAATGATAAAAATATATCCGAACCGCGATAAATATCTGTCATCGAGTAATTTAATAGATGGGTGTATTCTCTTGTGGTCCAATCATGAAATGTAAATGTTCGTCTTGTCATTCTCTCTTTTTCTTTAGGTATTAAAAAATATTATTATAATATATAAATATAATTCTTTAGGTAGTAAAAAATATTAATATTGCTTTTGATAAAATATTGCTTACATCATTTAAATAGGATTGTACCTGACGTTATTGCTCGCGCTTGATAAAAACTGATATTATCATTAATATATATTCCCTGAAAATTACATATTAAATATGACAAGATCATTCTTCTGCTTGACATAAATTATACAAATGATATACCGTTTTAGCATCAGATGAGCCGTGAAAACTCTTATCACACTTGCGATGTGCCTTCCTATTGATTTTATATTTTTGCAATAACGCGACAATGATACGACAGTGACTGTTTTCACTGCTTTTTCTGGAGATTCTAATTTCTGCAACAAATATGTATTTTGTGTCTGGCAGGCGAAAAGATATGATCTAAGATGAAACCTGTTTTGATCATTACGATCCGTCATCTTGATAAACGTTTAATGTCAACACGTTACGCAAAATTTCATTGAAATTAATTAGTCGAAAGAAGATAAATTTTCAATAAAAAGCATGATTAAAATTTCATTTCCCGCAAATTACATTTTTCAATTTTATTTTTATCTAAAATAAGGACGATTTCCTGTTATTCTGATATCGATTAATAATCGATTTGATAAATATTATAAATTGATTACAATTATATTTGCGATAAAAATTTGTGATATCGTTTGTTTCTTAGGTCTAAGCGCCTGTGAAAGGAAGTCCTTCATATTCCTGAGGAAGGAATTGCCGGTACGACTCGCCAATATTATGAAGGAGATTCACTTACTGCCGGAAAATCTGCTAAAGATGCCTAGTGTGGGTATTGTGAATAATTTGTACGCCACCTCCTTCGAGGAAATCCTACACTTTGAGAAAGTCGATGTCAACGAGACCACTTTAGACAAGTGAGCATGTGACTCAAGTATTCTTTTCTGAACGATTCGCAATGTTTCTCAAATGACACTTTACTACATGGAAACCTTTTACAGATTTTGCCAAGCTCTGATAAAGATACGGAACAGACATACCGACGTCGTTCAGACAATGGCACAAGGTGTTTTGGAGCTGAAAGAGTCTCACGACGTGGATGTTCAAACTGAGAACAGCATTCAGTATTTCCTGGACAGATTTTTCATGTCCCGCATTTCGATTCGTATGCTGATCAATCAACATAGTAAGTTTATTAAATGTTTTACGAATAAATTTTTTAGTATGAATCGCAAATTTTGCTTTATTAATGGGATTCTCTTCGTAACGTTTCAGCGCTCCTTTTCGGTGGGCAATTGAACGGGCACAGTAGACACGTAGGATGTATAGATCCGTCCTGTGACGTGATCGGCGTCATTAAGGACGCTTATGAGAACGCACGGTTTTTATGCGATCAATATTATTTGGCTAGTCCGGAATTGAAAGTTAAACAGCATAACGGCAAGTTTGAACAAAGTTGATTATATTAGTGTTAGTAAGTAATTTGATAAATGATTTTCTATAAAGGTAGACCAAGCATTATGTTTGGGTACTGTACGATACAAATATCAATCATCAAAAAATAAAATTGTGGAAGTACTGGTCATAATCGTCGCGCGGTTCGTTTTTCCAGAGCTTGAACGCAGTAGTGAAATTAGGATTATTTATGTGCCGAGCCATTTGTACCATATGCTCTTCGAACTCTTCAAGAACAGCATGAGAGCCGTGATGGAGCATCATGGAACTGACTCGGACAATTATCCACCGCTTGAAGTTTTGTTAGTGCGCGGTAAAGAAGATATTTGCGTAAAGGTAGGACAATGGCTTACGTCAGACGCGTAATTAGAATAATGGATAATGGACTGAATAATGGATAATTATCTCTATTTCATCCATCTACTTTAGATATCTGATAGAGGTGGCGGCATTCCTCGTTCAGAAACGGACCATTTGTTTAAATATATGTACAGCACCGCTCCACAGCCGAGCAAATCGGATGCTCATACAGTACCGCTTGCAGGATACGGTTATGGACTGCCATTATCCCGGTTGTATGCCAGGTATCTCCATGGTGACATCGTATTGCTCAGCTGCGAAGGTTACGGAACAGATGCTATCATCTATCTAAAGGTAATTTTTAAAGTTAATAAAAATGCACGCATTTAATGAGAAATTATAACATTTAATTTTTCTTGGATACATTTTATTTATGAGCAATGTTCTAATTGAAAGCTTATGTCCTCAGGCATTATCTACCGAGGCGAATGAATTGTTACCGATATTTAATAAGTCCTCATCGAAATTTTATCGCACACCGGTACCCACTGCGGATTGGAGCAGTCAGTGTGGTGGTGGGATGGCGACGAGGCAGCTTAGTATGAGTCATGCTCAAGGCCACAGGCTGCCACATGGGATGGAGATCACTCATTTATAGCAGAGCGCGATCGATGCGGATCAGAAAACTATTGGGTGAGTAATTTATAACAGTGCGACGTACACTCATCGATTCTTCGTTTTCTACGCTGAATTTACTCGGTTCTTTTCTAGGGAACTCAAGAAGATTTTCTGTTCGCATGTTGAAAAGGATACTTTAATAGGAAAGCAAGATCTGCATTCAAAACAAGGGCAAATATTGACGGAGTATACTCTACAAATACAACTAATTATATTGCAGATGAGATATTACACGTATTGGCCAAAGACAATATTGATAATCTCTTCCTTGTGCCGTAATTGCATTACATATCAAATCAATTATACAGATTTGATAATCGAGGCTTTTGTTTTTCATCGACACAAGCAAAGAACATCAGATTACCTACTATATATTTTAACAAAAACATTATCACAGGGTTTACGGTTAATATTAAAAAAAAGGAGAGAATTTTTTGACAAATCTTGAAATAACATTACTATTTGTTTTATAATAAAGCATTGCATCCAAATAATTGGATTACGTTTATATTAGGCTTTCTATAAGCATATTTGATTTAAAAATGTTGATTAATGTTGATTAATGTTGATTATTACAGACAATATCAGCATTTGAATCTGAAAAAGCATTTTTTGTTATATTGTAGCAATGTCGAAATATATCCTGGACGGCGTTCTATATTTGAAAAAATATAGTTTTCATTTATATTATATATTAATAATATTTGTAAATTATATATTTGTAAATTTTATTATATATATTTTTTTCTTAAAGATTTTAAATGAGTATTGAATACTTGTTTATCTATTTTATCTTTTTTGTTCTATATCTTATTTCTTTTCTCTTGATTTTAGAAAATAAAGAAAATAACTTTTTTATTTTATTAAATAAAGAAACAAATGTTCTTGGAAATATTTAAATATATTTATTTTATTAAGTAAAGATACAAATGTTCTTGGAAATATTTAAATATATTTATTTTATTAAATAAAGAAACAAATGTTTTTAGAAATATTTAAATATATTTACATTAAATATATTTTAGAACGTGGTCTAGGAGAAATAGGTATCTACTTCCAATCGGCTGTATGAAGCACGTAACAAATCGCAGACTGTGATGTAACATGAAGTTTTGATTTAGCTGCTAGATAATTAAATATCTATTAGTACACGTGCACAAAATAGCTTATAGTTTATAATTTCGCGCGCGTGTACATAAATTAAATTTTACGGCTATGTTTACGCCAATTGTTCCGAACGACTACAGAGAGAACTGAACGAAGAGAAATACTCTCCATCTCCCGAGAAAAATATTTTATACCGTGTGTGGAAAAACTATATAATCAACTTAGCCAGTCAGCTAATTTTTAATTATATATTTTCTATGAACAGATCATATTTATATACAAATCAGAAAAAAATTCTTTTTTCACGAAGAAAACTTTTGATACAGATCTCACATATTCTGAGGTATTTGTATCTCTTCTGAAAGCATTATGTTTCTTTTTGTGCGAATAGTACATTACGGAATGGAAGAAAGAAATCAATGTTAATAGTATAATATTTGTTACATTTTCTAAGTGCAGATTACATTTATATTATAAAGATTGAAAAGTGGCGCCCTCTAAATTTATAAACATTATAGTAAGATAGAATTATTTAAATATATATATATATATAAACTCTATTACTTTTTATTTAATTTGTAACATGCTTATGATCATGATGATTTCCTAATCAATTGGCGAAGAATATATTCGATTACCCAGATACCTCGGAGCGATAAACATTAATTTGTAAGTTTATACTGTATGATATGTGTTGGGAGAAGAATGTTGCAAGTGAAATGATAAGTGAATGCTATGTACGTTTTCTACGATGCAAGTTTTTTCAAACGTAATGTCGAGAGCGTAGAAACTTATTCCTAATGGAGCTAGTACGTTGAGCATGCTGTATCGCGCGTGACATATATAACGTCTCAGAAAAGATAATATTGACGATTAGCAAGGATCTTATTTCTCTGAACGTGACTCTAAAAATAAATTAAACGAAGAATGTTATGTATATATAATACTACGTTGAATGCGCGAGCGATGAATAGGAGTACAATTAGGAGTAAAATTTCATTAGATATTACAACTTGAAGAAGTATATTCGTGCACGCGCGACACGGATGAAAAATCTTGTAAAGCATTGTTAATAAATATCTCGCAACAAACGTGAGGCGTACGGATTATTCTGAACCATGACAAACTGGGTCAAACCACTTGATCCTTAACGATGGATTTTTGCTAATCTTTAAGTACGCGCGATATCCAAACTGCGTCAGATAAGGGATCGTATGTTATCAAGGCAAACGATGAATCTAGGACATCTTAGTATACGGTGCTGACGGTTCCTAAATTATTCATTCCGCGTATGTAAATTAATTGCCCGTGTCCCGTTACTCATAGCGTGTACTGTGATTCTGGAAAAATACAGTGCGTATATAAAAGCCGTATATAAAAGCCGAAAGATGACTCGTCGGAGCGCACATTTCATAGAACGCAATTCAGAAAAACGGTACAGACGGCGGCTCATCGCTGCTCCAGAAAGGTGTAAGTACAAACTGATATCTTCTAAATATTGCAAAAATTTATTTTTCGATTGAGTTGATTTCTCTTCTTAATTCTCTTTGGAATAAAGAAGAAACTCCCGCTCTTTTCTTTTATTTATCCGTTTTTCACAAATAATCAATCAGAGATCCGAGATTATAAAATACAATTAATAAGATAAATATAATTAAGATTTATAAGATTCGCTTCTTATTTACAAACAGAATCGGAGAACAAAGAGAAAGTACGTAAATAAATCGTACGTAGAAGATAATAATTAAAAAAAAAGTATTATCTTAATTTATAATTAACTGAAAAATCCGGCTTACCAAGATTTCATTCATTGTCTTCTGTCAAGAGTTCATGATATGATTAAAAACGATGCTATCAAGCGTGAAATACCTAATTGACAAAGAATTTACGATAAGATGATAGAGAATTAAGAGTACACACTCGATAAGAATATAAATATACATATAATAATTCCGTAAAATATATACAAAGACAGTTGATGTTTGACCAAAATAATACAAAAGTCTTAAATAAATAACCGAAGAAATTCAATATTGTTTTATTTACACGGATGATTTTATTTATTAAGTAATATAAAGATATATCTCCTGATTTTATTTATTAAATAATATAAAGATATATCTCCTGTAAAAAAATATAAAGCAAAATTGTTTATCAGAAAGTAAAATTATATATCGATACAAATAAAAGCTTTGTTTGATTCAGCGATTAATCACATCGATTTCATCGCACCTGTATTACTGCATATTATATTAAAAGCATTAATTAACACACTGAAAGAGAATTTCATCTTTCTTTAAATCTATATATTTTTTTAGAATTATGAAAGTATGAAAAATTGTGTTATTCTTAGAAAATCGATAATACTCTTCTTGAATATACGGGATTAAAATATTTTATAAAATATTAACAAATACATTTTTTTTAAATACAAAGCAAGTTGACATTTTTTTATATTAACTCTAATAAAATATATATAACATGTATTATTATTACTATTATTATTATTATTATTATTAGATTTATAATTCACCATTTTATTGTACCATTCTTGTTTCATTTATTATAAAATATTTTTTCGTGATACACGCGTGATACACGCAAAGACGCAAATAAAATATTATTTAGAACGTGGTTCACACGCGTATTCGACATGCACAATCAATTTAAACCTTTGATAAAGCTACCGGATTGCTAATTGTGACATGCCGTCTCGTGACTTATTGAGCGCGCCGCGCAGGATCGATGTATGATAACACGATTTCTTTTCAAGTTTAATCCGATAGACGAGTGGTAAAACCCAACGTGATCTTCATTTGATCGATTGGTGTGAATTTTTCTTAAATATAATGTCCTAGATATATGTGTTGATCATTGGTGCCGTGTGCATCCAGTGTTTAAATACAATGGATGAAACAATAACTGCAATCACTGTTACCTGCGCTCCTCCTGTCTCGCAAGGGGTAAGCTGATCTTCTCGAGAGACGAATGGTAGACGACTGTCGTCGTCGACTATCATATTTTTCTACAAAAAAATTATTGTTTCCCAATAATTGAGAAAAGTGTTTGCAGCATTTATTAATTGTGTCAACCAAAATTAATTTTGCACGTTGAAATTATGTGAAATATTTTGTACAGAGCCATCATGTGGAAGATAATAGTGTTGTGCACGATCGTGGGCTTGACGGCTGCCCAGAAGGCTGCCTTCAACAATTACAAAGTCTTCAGACTAATTCCAACTTCGGAGGCGCAGCTTGAAATTCTACGCGAATTGGAAGAAGTTTCCGATGGAGTAAGTAAATTTCTTTTTAATTATAAATACGCTTTTAGCAGATACGAAGATAAATTAAGAATGTTTGCTTCTTGCTTGAGGTACATATCACACGTGGAAACCTACTTGAAATTTACGCGAGATCAGTTTTACAAAATTCACAAGAGATATTATCGAACTTTCAAAGGGGAATTTCAAAAATTTTACAAATTTAGAAACGTTTAGAATCATTTATTAGATGGTTTGCGAAATTAAGAAAGAAAGACAAAGGAATAATGCTTTAATAGCGTTTTAACTTTAAAATTGATTTTCAACTCTAACACTAAATTCTTTAAAGTTCTCCTTCTGGGATGCACCGAGTTTCGTAAACAAACAAGCGGATCTGATGGTCGCTCCACACAAGTTGCCCGAATTCTACGAGAAGATGGGTCAGATCGGGATCCGCTATCAGAAGTACATCGACGATGTCCAAGAATTGATCGACGAGACCACCCCTATGACTCGATCGAAGTCGTTCGATTTCACCAGCTACCATACCCTCGAGGAAATCTACAAGAATCTGGATGATTTGGCCAAGCAATATCCCGACAAGGTGCAAATCGTCATAGGCGGCAGAACGTACGAGGGTCGTCAGATCAAGGGCGTCAAGGTTTCCTTCAAGGCCAACAATCCTGGAATCTTCGTCGAGGGTGGCATTCACGCCAGGGAATGGATCTCGCCGGCTACCGTCATGTACATTCTCCACCAGCTGCTGACCAGCAACGACCCGGAGGTCAGAGCTCTGGCCGAGAGCAACGATTGGTACATCTTCCCCTCGTTCAATCCCGACGGATACGTGTACACGCATACCACGGTAAGCCTCGTTAGTGCGTTTGTTAATGCGATTATGCAGCGCGGTCTATTAATTTGCGAATTAATTTTATCGCCATACTTTTTTCGGAATCGTGAACCAGAACCGAATGTGGAGGAAGACGCGTAAGCCGTACAATCTTTTCTGCAGCGGCAGCGATCCCAACAGGAACTGGGACTACAGATGGAACAGTAAGAATTTGTAGAACTTAAATTTTTTTGAAAAAGAGAAGTCTTTTATTTTAAATATATATTTTTTCTTCGTATATTCTTCATTTTTGTTTAACGTTATTGCAATTTGGCATTTTTCAGCCGGAGGTGCCAGCAGCAACCCGTGCTCCGAGACCTACGCCGGAAGTGCACCGTTCTCTGACATAGAGACGAAAAGCATGTCCGAATACCTCAAGTCTATTTCCGATAAATATTACGCGTATTTATCATTCCACAGCTATTCGCAATTATTGATGTTCCCGTACGGCCACACGACGGATCATCTTGAAAACTATGATGAATTGGTGAGAAATTTAAACACACTAAAGCAACATTGAAAACTTTTCATTTAAGGTAGCATATAAATTAATGAAATAATCATTTTTGTATTTTATTGTCGAATTAATTAAATGCCAAAATTTAATTCTCAGATATGAAACATTTTAAGATAATAAAATTTATGAACAACTTAGCGTTGTTTTATTACACAGAATTTACTTAATTTTTATGTTTTTTTCAGTACGCTATCGGCACAAAAGCGATTACGGCACTTAAACAAAGATATGGCACTTCATATGTAACTGGAAATATTGCCGAGACGATCTGTAAGCAAAAAGATTTTAATTCGTACACTTTTATTTTGTAATTATCTAGAGTGATTTACTGGAATTAAAAATCTCTTTGTTTCTATTATTTTAAATTGAAGCTCTACTCTATTAATTATTCCGATATTAAAGTTTTAATTTAAATTATATAAAAATTGATATTTTTAAAAATTTCTTTTTGTTTTTATTAAATCTAGACATAGCTACTGGAAGTACTGTGGACTATGTTAAAGGCATTTATGGCAAACCTATCGCTTACACGTACGAATTGCGTGATCAAGGCCGGTATGGCTTCTTGTTGCCTCCTGACCAGATTATCCCGACTGGAGAAGAAACCATGGATTCTCTCGTAGCAATGTTTAAAGAAGCAAAAGCACGTGGAATTCCTAATTAAAACTGACTTAATTTGTAAATAGTTTATTATTTCGACGAGATATTCTTTTCACAAAAATTGCTAATCTCTCTCTTTTTCATTCCGTTTCAAAATCTAATGGTAATGATAAATTTTAGTAATTTTGGTATTTTTATAAAAAAAAAAACTTGAATTTTCTTTAACGATATTATTTTTAAATATTTTATTAAAATTATTATATATGTAATTTAATTATCACTATCAATTTTATTACGCTTTAGACGAAACATTTTTAATTGTATTATAATTATATTGTATTATAATTATGTACTAGATTCAATATCTTATGCGCTAATTCAATTATGAGATATCGCAGACATGAAAAGAGAATATAAAAATTATTTGATAAATCGATATATTAATAATTTAATGCATACATAATTTTGACAATGACAATTTGATATATTTGTCAGAAATTTTATGTAATTATTTTTAATAGACAAAAGATCTATGTATTATGTATGTAAATATATGTATAATAATATATATTATAATTTTTAAAAGTATAATAAAATACATATTACAATGATACAATATACACTGATATTATAAACATTCCTCCAGACATTATTATGTGATTTTTACCCGAGCTGATAAGGGCAACATAACAGCAGCGTTGAATAAAACTAATTATATCTCTGAAATGGAAATGGTTGTGTCTCAGATACAACCATGTATAAAACGGTCAAAAAAGACCCTATCAAAAAACTATCCAATGATGTTCGAACACTTACCTCTAAATGGAAAAACAAAAAGTACATCGATATTCCAAATTGTAGAATTATAACAACTAGCGATGATATTCTACCGAGGGCGTATGAGTTGCCAAAAATTTATAAATCGGGCTACGAATTATTATAGCCTCTATTAACAATCCACTATACAAATTAGCTTGCTTTATACATAATATTCTTACTAATAGCATAAATGAATGTCCTAGTTACATTAGGAATAGTTTCCATTTTGTCAACAAACTTAATGGTTTCCATATGGAATCAGACCACGTTCTTGCTTCTTTGGACGTTATCTCGTTATTCACTAATGTTCCAACAAACTTAGTTTTAGAGAATATAACTAAAAGATGGGATCTGATTTCTAGAAAAACATCCATTCCGTTAAATGAATTCATTTTTTGCTATTAAGTTAATAATTAGTTCGACGTTTTTCACTTTTAATAATAAAATTTACAAGCAAGTTTTTCGCCTCCTCCTATGGCTCTCCACTATCATCATTGCGGATTTAATGGTGCAGGATTTAGAGGAGACTGCGATACGACGTTTATCTCTCCAACTACCCTTTTATTATCGGTATGATATAGTTTTCTATGCACCATCGTATATGCTAAATACTGTATTAGGCATTTTTAATTCGTTACACGAACGTTTAAAGTTTACGATGGAAAAGGTCGATCGCCGTCTCAGCTTCCTCGACACTTTACTCATTATCGAGAATGATAAAATTATTTTTGATTGCTATCACAAACCCAACTTTTTCAGGAAGATACTTTAATTATATTTTCCACCACCCCTTAGAAAAAAGATATATGTAAAAGGTAAAAGGTATATATGTAAAGGTATATATGTAAAATTATATATGATCTCGTAGACAAAGTGGTCTTATTAGCACATCCACATTTCCATTCAAAAAACTTAGAAGAGGCTATATATCCGTTTTATTGAAAATCCTCTAGAATTTATAATAAATACTGTCAACAATAGATTAAAATATTTTTTTTACAGTAAACAGAAACCTATTGAGTCCAATAAATCCGATAAATTAACCGCGAAAAAGAAAGTCTACTTTACCGTTCCCTATGTAAAAAATGTCTCTGAGAGTTTTCGAGCACTGGCTAAAAGATCTCACAGTTGCTTTTTCTTTGCCAAATATACTAAAAAACTTTATTATTATTGGCAAAGATAAGTTAGACAGATTATCACAATGTGATGTTGTCTATAAGATTAGTTGTAATGACTGTGATTCGACTTATGTTGGACAGACGAAAAAACAATTGCAAACGAGACTCCACGAACATATCACTGATAAATAAAAAAAGTGGATCTCCTTCTGTTATCTCATTTTTGACATTCTTTTGATTAGAATAAATGTTGAAATCTTAGATAAAGAACCTAATCTCAGAAAAAAATTTATCTCCGAAATGATACATATAAAAAATAACGGCAAAGTTTAAACAAGCAGAGTGACACGGAGTTACTCTCAGATACATATCTTTCTATCCTTAACTTCCTTTCTCTTAACTCCCTTCCTCTCTCCTGTTTAGTTCCCTATTTCATTTCTTCCCTCTTTTTTGTTGTTATATTCTCCCACTTCTCCCCCTCTTTTTTCCATTCGCTCTTTCTCGGAGCCGATTTTTCTTTAGCATTCGCTCGCGCTTGTATCTACAATGTATTGAAGAGATCCAATTCCACAATTTTTTAATAATTTCTCTCCATCTTTTACATATTTACCATCAGATATGACCGAAATCAGATATGACATCATATATAATTTAATCACATACTCTTTATTTATTTGTTTATTTATTTACTTTTACTTTTTATTTATTTATATTTATATTTATATTTACCTTTTATTTATTTATTTATTTACTTAACTTACAATTAAACCATAAATCAGTATCTGACTAATCTTTTTAGAATGTATAATTTCGTTTTATTTATTTATTTTTTTTTTTACTATTTTGAATAATTTCAGAAAAGTATTTGTCAATTTTTGATTAATTTCAAAAAACTATTTGTCAACTTATAACAATTTAGAATAATTTAATTATTAATTACATCTTTCTATATTCCCTTTTATATTCCCGCGTCATTTTTTAAGGTTTGACTATTTTGACATAACAAGTTCTTTTTATTGTTTGCATCAATTTAATTTTTTAATATAAAAATCTTTATTATTTCTTCCGTATGTTTAAATCCAGATTGAAGATGTTTTTAGTCACACCTGATTGTACAATTGCCATATTGAAACATCCCCCGTGAAGATTCTTGTTTGCGACTATCTGCGCTATGTGGAGTAACAAATTTATATTATCGGAAACTATAAAGCCTGTCATTTTTTTATTTTAAGTCACTCTGAATATATAAATGGTTATTGTAATTGAAGCTTATACACTGATGAAGACCAGAATAAAGATCGGAACGTTTGTTATGTTTATATTTATAGCGTTCACTCTTGTATTTATATATTAAAAGAATAAATTAGCAACCCAGCTAATGTCACCCAGCTTGGTTCGTATAGTCCTTTTTTGTATATATTAGATGTTTATCTACTGAGTCCGATTTGTAATTTTTGAATCATTATTATGTATTAAACAAAAGAGAATTTTAAAAGTAACAATTCTCAGAAAATTTCAAGATCGTAAAATTTGAAGATTTTAATGCAAAAATTGAAATTTATAAAAGTTAACAAAATATCAAAAGAACATAATCGGCAAGAAGGTTACGTTATTCAAAATTCTAGGAATTTTTCAAGATTCTAAGAATTTAGGATTTTAAAAAATGTCAGAGTTTAAAAATTTTCTAAATTCTCCTGAGAGAAACATTTTTATGATTCTTGCAAATATCAACAATTGGAAAATGTTTTTAATAATTATTTTATAATATATCGTTAAACATGGCAATCGTAAAATTATACATTAGGTTTGTCGCGTTGCTTGCATTTTCTGCACTCGTATTTCTCATTCTTTTCTTTTCTTTTCCAATAATCGTATATATATCCATCTTACTTTAGGTGCAAAGTACTAGTGAGTACAAGCAACGAGAACAAGCATATTTATTCCTATGAATATCCACATTCTCAAGTTGGTCACAATGAAATCACCTCGCAGGAATTTAGACTTTAGACTTTGAGCCACGTTTGAAGGACTGTTATAAATTTATCATTGGCAATTTGATTAGAAAGAATTAATTAAAAATAGTTGCATTGTATTAAGATTTATTTATTCTTGTTGAGTTATTCTTGTTGTATTAAGATGGCACGTGTGCTCGTAGGTGTAAAAAGAGTAATCGATTATGCAGTCAAGGTAGAACATCTTTATATCGTACATCTTAAGTAAAAAAAAAAAAAAACGAATATATATTGTTCTTAAGCTTTATATTTTTCTTCGGCAATATCTAATAAAATGCAACAAAGTTGATAAACTTTTTTTTTAAGAGAGATTCAAAAATGCAGGGCTGTAATATTATTAAATTAAAAATATATATGTGAAATATAATAAATCAAATATATGTTATATATTTTCACAGATTCGTGTCAAGCCTGATAAGACTGGAGTA